GCAATTGATATAATAATATATATCCCCTATATTAATTCATAACGTGTTGAGCTTAAACGGCAAGTTTGCATGTTTCAGATTACAAGCTTCGTTTCTAAAATTTGGTGGATTTTATTTAATTCCCATCCAAAAACAATTAGGTTCGAATTATCTAAAAATATATTGATTATTTATGGTTATGTTAAATGTATTAATTGTATTTTAATATCATTTCTTATAGTAACCATTAAACTGTAAATATATTTTAAAAGTTAATATTTTTTTATATTTTTTATTAGTTTTACATATATAATATATCAAATTAATCATCTTTTGATGAGTTTCGATTTAACATCCATATTGTAAGTGTAAAAAAATATATTTATTTTTATAACAATTATAAAATAGTGTTTTATATTAATTAGAAAAATAAAATTATTTATTAATTGATATATATTTATATTCAAATAGTTATATACTATAAGTTATAAAAAGTACTATAATATAACACATGTAAGTCACATAAGTAACAAATGTCATTCTAGAATGTATAATAATATATATTTTTTGTAAGAAAGTAAGTAAAATTTAAAATAATTAATTTTAAAATTTTCATAATAATTTTGTAAGGGCGTTCCCAATGGTTGGCTATTTGGCTAACTATTATGACGTGGACATGAGAAAAGTGGGAGAGAGAGTAGTCACTAGCGAAGAAAAAATAGTTTATCTATTTCACGTAATCCAAGATCATGTGAGAGGAGTATGTGGATCCAATAATGTAAAATAGTTATTTTTCTTATATCTCACATCCACGTCAGCTGACTATATAATTGGTAATAACTATTACCATTGGGGATGCCCTTAAGCACCTGTGTAATATCTACTAGTAGGTATTGAATTTGTTAAATTTATAAATTATATATCGAGAAATAACATGCTAAAGGCATTGGCGATCTTCTTTCTTTGTGCCACGTGGTCGACATGCAAAGAGGTAGTGTACGACTTCATGTTTCTCTAAATGGTGACACCTGTCATGTTACGTAAAGCAGTTTCGATTTATTGCTGGAGATGATAATTTTAATCCGTTCTATACAAACTGATGAGGATAAAAATATTTGTGCTAGAGTCATTTTCAGTTTCTTCTTTATTTATTCCTCTCTGCGAAGCTGATATTCTTAAGGCAAAAAAAAAAA